TCCGTCTCCGGATATCTAATTCAGATGGCAGGGACTTGTGTCAGCTGGGCAAGCTCTATACAGCACTGCGTAGCGCTTTCCACAGCAGAAGCACAGTTAGTGGCCCTTAGTGAAGGCTGCAAATAATATGAATGGATTCACACACTTTTGAGTCAAATGGGTTTAAACTTAAACCGCCGAATTACAGTATGGTGTGACAGCGGTGCTGCAATTGATTGCGTCAAAATACCAGAAAACCACAAGGGTACAAATGTTGTCTTGCGCCGGTGTTCACAACCGACGACTACCGTGTTCACAACGGTGACCTCGATGACAAATCCAAAAGTAACTTCATTATCCAGTCCATAAGTCAGTTCCTTCCTATCACTTCACTACTCTTCTACCAGTCATGCATCATACAGTGTACCATCAGCTCGGAACATATGCCGCTCCGATCCAGGGCATATTTCACACTCTTCAAATGTCGTTCGTGACCAACATTCGGCTACCCACACTCAGGCACGGGGAGTCGAACAGAGGCTCGGCCGATAACAACAAAGCATATTGATACTCGAACACTCTTCATTCGTGAACTGTTTCAAAAGAAGAAAATAGGCTTAAATTATTGCTCATCTAAAGAGATGATTGCAGACATACTAAGCCACTGGCCCAGCAACAGTTTGCATGCTTAAGGGCAAAGATGGTGTGCACGATCTAGCTAAACCAGAGAGCTCTTAGTGGGAGTGTTAGCCATATGCATACAAGGATTGAAGTTACATAGATAAAGCTATATATATGAGATTGAAGCTGGAAGAGCTCCAGGCTTCACATCCCTCGACTACTTCAGTGTGTCGAGGGCCAATAGCTACCTTGTTTTGATCCTACACACACTATTTGAAGGTTGCATATGTTGAGAGACATGACAAACTTCAATCACTGCAGCTAAGGTTGCACTATTTACATGTATGCATGCGTTAAAAGGTCCGCTAGCATCTCTGTAGTTCTTCAGTATTGAATCTTAACCCTTTTCTTTTCAACAAGATCTCGTGAAAACAAATATCTCATTTCAATGTCCTTAAAAAAGTTGGACCAAATAGGTCAATTTCTTTGATGCCGTAGAACTCCCGATTTGCATGAAATTGTAGCATTATTTTTTTTAACTTTGGTGCCATCCAGGCGCACAAATCTCAGCAAAATTATATTTATTGTTGTAGTCTATTGAGATGATCTTGGTGCTTTGATCACAGTCAGGCAGAGGAAACCATTTCAACGTCGATACTGTGAACACCAGCGCATACCTAGCATTATCCATCGTTAGTTTACGTTGAAACAACTTGTTTGCTACTTTCAAATGGGCAAACAACTTCGTTTATATTGTGAAATTAATTTTTACAGATCTTATTTATCTAAAGATGAAACTAATAACAATTAAATATGACCATTTTACATAGAAAAATTGCCATAGTCGAAATATTCCATTTTTCGCCATTTGGGTGCGTCTAGATGAAAACAAAGATAAAAAATAATGCCACAATTTTCATGCGAATCGAGTTTTTCAAGGCATACAAGAAATTAACCGATTTGGTCCAACTTTTTTATGGATCACGTTGAAGTCTGTTGATGTCTATCACTTCACAGTCAATCGGAAATCGTATATTTTTTTCATAATTCAGCTGGCATCCAGACAACTTTGTAGGTATTTCGTTTCTCCTTTTTTCTTGGGATATGAGACTTTGGGAAATTTATGCAGACTAGCCAAAACGGTTAATGGCATAATTTTATGAGGTGGCATCCAGACGAGTCCTTGTCAAACCTAATCTTAGGATGAAAAATTATTAACTATAGTGAAATTCCGTCAGAAAATTTTCTGACAATATTTTCCTTTTCTCCAAGTTCCCAAAGTCACGTATAACAATTGATGCAATAAGTTCATTGTAAAATGTCTCGATGCGTCCAATTTTTCATGAAATTCCAAGCATATCACAAATGTCGAGCAGGCCAAGTGCAAGGAAGAAAATTCGCCAAATCGGCGTAACGTTATCTTATATTTGCCATAATTTGGGCAAATCGCCCGAGACTTCTGGGGGATTTTTCTAGTTTCTATCGCATCCAGACACAGTTATTTTAAGAATTCCAATTTTTTTTACAATCAAGCTTTTTCGTTGCGAAATGGTCGATTTCTGCAGGATATTGTGACTTCCGGACCAGGCCTAAAGGTATCGATTAGCCAAAAAATATGAAACGCACAATAGTACTATATCAAAGTACACCGGATCGTTCAACTACGTCGGTACTTGTCCTACCTTTGCACCATGTAATAAAATTGGAATAATGTATTTAATTGCGAGGTTTTCCCTGGACCAAAAGAGATGTTTTATTTTTAAGCTTGATTTCAGTATGCGGACGGTAAAAAAATAACTCCAATACTTTGTAACGTATAAACTAACTCTAAATCAGGTATAACGAGAGATCACAGTACGCGTTGGGCATGCGAGGTCTGTACTACCGGTACGTAAGCCTAGACAGAGGTAAAAGTATTAATATATACGACAGTATTGTGCTTTGGAGTGAAATTTCGTGTTGTGGCGTGGTTTCTCGTTGGAATTTAAATCCATTTGATCGGCCACCTCAGATGAGCTCAAAATTATTAGCCTTCTCAATGAAATTCAACCAATCAGATCGATTGTGGATCGGTTTGGTCGGCGCGATTCGATTGCACCCCCTCCCCAAATTTGTATCAAATCGACAATAACACTATATTAATATTTCCTCTGTCATATCACGCGCTTTCTATTTCATAATGGTGCAGATCAACGACAAATACGATAACTTGAGTGGACCTAATCGGGTAGTTACGCTCGTGGTGGTCGCATGCTGGTATTGTTGATTTTATTCTAAACTGGAGCGACATGGAGAATAAATCGACACAACCAAATAAATGCAAAGAAGAATTCACAGAAGGATATATTTAGCCAACCAGATTGCAGGAAACGTATCATCAACGTGTGTGACTTTAATTAGTGTGATATACCCAACCACCACATGGTACCTTGTTACATTCAAAATTCCGTAGAAATAAAATCGATCGATACATATGGCGATTTTCAGCACAAAAGACAAAAGTCGGCCAAATTATTCTTGGGTAAAACAACAATAACTATCTCATTTATATTAATTACCCCAACAACCTACTTCTACTTCTCATATTATTGGTGCGGCACTTGGAGGGAATAGCGAAAGCCGCCCGACGACGACTCGGCCGACGACGACGACGATCTGTCCGAGTCGACACTGCCAAACGAACTCGTTTCATTCCCAGCATCTTTATTGGTGTACTTTGGCTGGTGCTGATCGTACGATGTTTGCTGGCCGTAGCTGGTAAACGCGTTGCCCCACTGCCGGTCCAGAGGATCCAAGTTGACGTCCGCTTGGCCAAACAATCGGGCGTTAAACCAGTCGGTAGCATTTCCAGGACTAGTAGGACTAGTAGTAGTACTAGCATTGTGGTTGTGGCGTCCAATGTGGATACTGCGCACGCTTTCCAAGTACGAGTCGTTCAAGTCATCCCGTGGGCGCATGCGGTGCTCCAGCGTCGGCGACTCCCCTTGGTCGGTGGTTGATATGGTTGGAATAATATTTTGAGTCATATTTTGGCCCAACTGAAGCTGCTTTTCAAACGGATTCGTCTCATATACACTCGAGTCTTGAAACGAATCGGCATCGTCCATGTCATCGTAGCTGTAGTGGTTGGTTTGGCTGTCCAAGTAGCTATCGTTGGACAAGGACCTGCCGCATTGAGGTTCAACATGGATGGATGGCGGACAGAGGTTTGGAGTCGACTTGGGTCGTCTACATGAGAGAGATATTTATTTATTTATTGTACTTTCGAATGAAATGTCGTGTTGTGGTTTTTCGTTGATATTTAAATCGATTTGATTGGCTACTTCAGATGAGCTCAAAATTATTAACCAATCAAAACCTTCTCAATGAAATTCAACAACCAATCAGATCGATTGTGGATCGGTTTCGTCGGCACAATTCGATTGCACCCCCTCCCCAAATTTGTACTATCAAATCGACAATACTTGGGCCTTTTTTGTTCGGTGAATAGTGAACAAAGGGGGGGGTAGACTGAAATAAATACATGGAAACAAGGTTCAACATATATAAAATAAAACACGTGTATATATATATATCAGTAGATAAAACTATGCAGTATATAGAAGGTATGTATAGTGTTGTGGACACAGTTTCGAATACGTCCAACAAGAACATATACAAATATATATATATATATATTCACACGAGATTGTTGCCGAACCAGCAAAGTATATTTTATTTCGATTGTTGGATTCGGTGAATATATATATTCACTCAATGGAATGGCTCTGACCATAGATATGGTCAGAGCCCCATAAATAAATGATATATATCGAGTGACGTGACACCCGGTCTTGCCGATATATATATATATATATTGTCAAGTCGATTCGAAATTGTAGTGGGATGGCCAATATCCAATGAGCAGCAGCACCAAATCGGCAGACAATCCATCGACCAATCCAAACGCACAACACAATTCAAGTGGCCAATCAAATACTCCCTTCGACAAACTCAACAACGAATTAGTGTGAGACTGAAATTAGTGTGACACTGGACGATTTTACATATAAATGTCAGTACAACGACCGAGCGAATCAGCACAAGAGTCCAAATTTTGGGTAAAAGGACAATATATATATATATATAAATAGACAGTACCGATGCGGAGGTTGCAAAGGGGGGGCGGCTGCCGAGGGATTCCTTTGGATGTTGGGAGACTGGTGGTCGTCCACACTGCTAAGAGCAGACTTGTCCAGCGTGGAAGCGGCGCATAGGCTGCATATTCGCACACGTTTGTCACCAGACACGGGCAAGTGGAGGTACCTACCCCTCAACTGTTAGATAACAAGCCAACATAGGAATAAAAGGCATCAAGGTAGGTAGCACACGATTCTCGAAATATACATATATATATATACCATGGACGAAAAGATGAAGCATCGGAGCTTCAAATATATATAAGTGAAGCTCCGCTATATATATACATACATACATGCATATATATATATCTTTGAAGCTCCGATGCACCAACATATTGTACACATATATATATTCCCTGCACAACTCCAAGTCTGGTGAACGGTTGAAACCAACATAGGAAGCAAACACCGTCGAATAAACCATACCAACATATAAGAGTCATATCAAGCGTGATTCATATTATATTTCTATTGCACCAACATATTTATATATAAGAATTGAAGGGGGGTATATACTAGTGTACCAGTGGTCACTGCAGTGTTTGCAAATCACGTGCGCGCACTTCCGACAGCGAAATCGCCGCGTAAACACGAGATCGAACCGACGGCAGCACAAGTGGCAGTGTACCACGTGCTTCTTGGGCGGCAAATCAATATCCCCCAAGATATGACCAGCGCTGAGCTTTTTGCCTTGGAGGAACTTGTCGATGCGACCGATGCTCGCGACGCTATAGATGGAACTGATTAGGACAAATATCATGACACTGGAATATATATATATATATATGTAGCAACGGATACGATAGACTACGAAGTATATACAGACTGGCTGGATACAACGCTGCCATACAATTATATATATATATATATATATGTATGAAGACTCGGATCATACAACACAACTCGAAATATACGGGTGAAGTTGACCCATACATATATATATATAATATATATATATATATATATATATATGGATACAATACAATTCTAAATATATTTCAAAAACGATCAGTCCTTGTAACTTGGGTTCTCCCTTATATATACAATACTTGTATCTACACAGCGACGATACCTGACTAGGATACATATCTAGGGTATTTAGACACATAGATACAAGACGACCAGATATATCGTATATATACAGAATAAGGTATAAGACTACCACAAATATAAAAATCACTGAAATACCCGACTATCGTAAACTGCTGTATACCTACCGTGTGTTTTATCGTTGAGTTGCACCATAAACTGTACAATGTACCTATACTATGTACACTTTAATATACATCATACACTCGAATCATCCACTATACAATTGGAACATTTCAAAATAAAAAATAAGAATATTCAAAACCAATTTAAAATGGCATGGTGCAAGCAAGCAAAAAAAAAATTTCGATAAAATATTTCGGATTCAATAATATATATATATACAATTTAAAAAAATAGATCAAAAAGCAAATAATTATTCCGACAAATGTCGACATATACAAAATTCCCCTAAAATATACTATCAGTAGATCGAAAACAAATATACCGGCGGCGAAGCGTCTGCTGGCGCCACCACGCAGGCACGGACCCCTTGAAGTTGACCTGAAGAACATGAGTGATCTCCAATATGCCAGGCTTGTCGGTTTCGAGCACGACAAAGCCGGACCGGTAGTAGCTGCCGCGCACAAACCCGAGCGTCTTCTCCAGCGACGGACACGACGGTATGTTGATGGAATGGATGCAGCGCACCCACCCCTGCTTGTTGGTGCGGGTGTCGACGAACTCGTCTTGGCACTGGATCAACATGAGTACGACGGAGAAATGAACGAACGATATCGTGGTTGCAGTAGAGTCGTGAGATAGGTTCATATGTACCTCGAGGTAGCAAAAGTCGCGGTTCTTGACGAGGGGACTAGACGACTCGACGGCACTCCACCGGACGCCGATGTAATGCAGGGGGTTCTCCAGACTCGGCTTGACGATGTCGTGGATCGTGAACATGTCGATGAGGTCGGGCTCGAACACGCGCGCATACGACGCTAGCTTGTCGTCGTTGGTAAGATGGAATAGGTCCGCGACGTCGGCCAGGGCGCCTCGGATCGTGTTCACGCCGCACACGTACGTAAGATCTTCGTTTCCACCGAATTCCTCGCCCTGGAAGATCTGGACGCCGTCGCGACTGCTGTTCTTGTGTTTCCATTTCACCGACCCGCCGTTCTCCTGCGCGTAAATGATCACTTCCATGCACATGTTGGTGGCAATCGACCCGAGGAAGTCCGACTCAGGCTGAGTCAGGTCCGGCCGCGTGTAGAACTCCTTGGGCAGGACACTGCCGCCAGACTTGGCATGATCGGATGCTTTGCGGGGGAACATCCTGATGCGGCTATGTCAGCGCGCAGTTTTTCGTGACTGCGATGATTAAACGCGTTTTTCTTACATTGCCTCATATTATCTCATAGCAGAAATACAACGATACATTTGTATGAAAACGTGGGAAACGTACATTAAATTGCTCGTTTTGGGTAATATATTACCCGGCCAGACTAGTTTAAACGTGTTACGACCGCTGCTGAATACTCTGATTGGCTGATGCGTTCGTGTAAACTTCAATCGACTTCTGAGATCCGACTTTGAAGGCTCCCAGTTGTTGTGACCATGGCCACTTTGTCGTTATAAGACGACTAATGGGCCACATTGTAGCCAACGCCAGGTTATAGTTCGGCTAGGTACATCTTGCGAAGGTTAAGTACTGTGAATTCGCTATAAACTTCCGAAGTTCGCGTGGTTTATCGACATACTGTGTAGCGTACTTACTGTTAGTATATAGGTTTAGACAAGTCAAATAGATTTGGACTCCTCTGTAAAATGATATAATCCTCTGTAAAGTTATTCAATTGGATTATTACACTTGATTATTGTATGCATAATATATCCAGAAGTTAAAACCTGGTACGAGTACAAATTACTACAGTAGTACTTATTGTAGTATCCCACATGTGCGAACCTGGGGCAAAGGTCGCAGCTGTTGGCTGGAAGTTACACCATGGCAGTTACTAGTACACCCTGACAGTTACAGTGTGAGTTTATGTTGGGACTCGACATGCTGAACCACCACGATCGGTCGGCGCTAGCGTTGCTGGCAGCCGTGGAAACGTCGTACTTGGCTTGGATGGACCTGCAGTCGCGAATGGCGTCGACGCTATGGGTGTCGCTGACTTTGCTTTCAGTGTACTGCCACCACCTGCGCCCCCTCTTGCAGCCTCCCCCGTCGTCGTCCCAACCACACCAATCAAGCTTATCGTAGCCTCATAAAGGAATACCCGAGGAATTCCGTGCTGTCGAGCCAAAGTGTGACACGAAGGACAGAGGTGGTGCCAGACACAAGTGCAGAACGTCCTCTTACTGTGTCACCGTGACTCTTTGGACGTAAAACATATGAAATGAGTAGTAGTTTGTCGTCCACACAAGTGCCGTTGCAATTCACATGCGTGTCACGTGCTTGCCATGACAGTTTTATTCCCTGGACGCCTTGTACAACGAGAGTCACAAGAACCAATTCGTTGATTTGACTACGAAAAATGTCGGACGCTGTTTCCTTTTTCATGTCAAAGGATACTCACTGACGTTGTAAGTCTTATGTACAGTACACTGTACTTTTCTACTACTGTACCGGTAGTAGTACCCGTTACTTGAGTACTACGTAGTAGTGAATACCCCTGTCGCCGTAACTACAGTACAATACTACTAACGTTACCTCCGATTGGAAATGATTGATAGGTTTCATTTTTAGGCTTTGAACAATTGTATCTCAGTCAAAATAGATTGCCTTGACAATAGGTATATACTTCCATGTAGAGCATTTTACTAGAAATCCGATTTTAATGCTTTGAGGCCCAAATTACAGTATCTTAGAAGTTATTGTCAAAATCAATCAGGAATGATGCTCAATTTTCACTGTGCTTCCTTATAATTTCTATACACCTATATCTGATTTTCTCTGAACTTATCAGGTTATAGCGGTTTACGTGGAGATATGTGGTACAGCAAATATGTTAATACCTGTATAATATAATAGTAATTGTAGTATTAATACTACTACATACTCCGGAGTACTAGTACAGTAGTAGTTAGTAGGCAACATGGACACTGAACAAACACCCTACACTTTGCATGTCGTCGAAGCTAGTATACTACGGAAATGCTGGCTTCAACGACATGCAATATTATGGCATGCGTACAGTACACATTGTTCAATATACTACGTAGTACCCCCAAGTAGCTACAGTACCATATACTTCGAAGTACTTCGAAGTACCTTACGGATCTGTACCCCCGAAAATGTCAGTAAAATCTGATCAAAATGAATACAACTCCCTCCATAAGGTGGTCTGATTTCTTTCCAATGCGTTTGGATTGGTTACTTCTACTACTTCGACTTGTTTAATTGGCTAGAACGAGATAATTGGACAGTTTTGACCAATATAAAGCGACTTGGGTACAGCCTTCCAAGGTACCACCAAATCGTACTTTATTGACACCATACAGCAATTTGGGTACAACTCGATAAGGCAAAATCATGGGAAAAAATGATCCATAAGGTATACGGGTAGCTACCGTCGTCATTAAGAAATGATGAAATGATGACACCTTGCATAGTGATTCCCGTGTATAGTAGTGGCGGGAGTACCAACGACCCTACAGTACCTATAGCTCTTCCCCCGTCGCAAATGATGTGAGCGACTCGTACAACGTTATGGTTTTCAGGATCACAATATAGGCTTGTACTAAGGTAGTCACTTCTAGGCTTCAACTCAAGCATCTCAGACTCGCCCGCAGTGCCACCATCTCATACTAGACCAGAGGATATCTATCTCTACTCGTAGCCGGACCAAACGTCGCATTGTTGACCGATATCACCCTGTAGTACGCCACATTGAGTTCCTTCTCAATTCCAGTGTCTTCTTACACCTCGCATACCTCACGACCTCCCCTTTACTCAATTTGCAGCTTGCCTCCAGGCTGTCTGGGAGCGGAGCAATCGAAAACAAGACTCCACATCATGTGGACATATGCACAACCGAAGACCAAGTGCCAGCAGGCCCTTCCCAAGAAATAAGCTGTCTTGGCCCTGATGATCTCGCTTGTCATAGCCCTCCACCTTCCCATAGCCCGCCTCCGTGGACGTCCTACCGTGAAAGCTTTCAAATGGACGCATCAAATGGCCTTGTCTACCGGTATGGTACTGTTGTACCTTTTGAAATGTTAAAATGTTTCAGGGTATCCCAGCCAATCACTGATCAGTTTTACAATCAAATGAATTGATTTGATAATAATAATATTCATCTGTTGCCAACCTTATCCCTCGTCGTCTATGTTGAGCCATTTTATTGGTTTTTTCCCTCGTATCGTCGCGTTGCATTCACGACGACGACCAGACTGCCCACCATGTAACGGGATACGTCCAACGTGTCACAGAAACAGTAATCAGGAGGGGGGACATGTCTCGTTGATTGCATCAGTTCCGGGAACAATAACGTCGCCCCTCCGCGTGGTCACTGCGCGACCTGGTAATGCACACATCAGCACCAATCAGTTCCCAACGCTTCTTGAGGGTACTAGTATGATGGCGCCGAGGCTGCCTCTGTCACACCCGTACTTTGCCACGCCGGTGCTGTCGGCCACGGACCGTCAATCGTATGTCGACCAAGCCAACGCCTCGAACCGCGACACTGTGCGCCAGGCGCGCAACATGGAGTTGTTCCCAGTGTACCGCGAGTCCACGCACGACAAGACCCAGCGCCGCGTGACCCTGCGGCTAGGCCACGACGCACTCAACCCGAGGCTCATGTGCATGAGTGCCCATACCCAAGTGTCATGCACGATCGAAGCCGTGGCGGACTTGTATCACACCAACACGATCCAGCGGTCCTTCGAACACGTCGTGGCGCCGTCCGTGCTGGATCGGACCTGTCTGTACCCGCTCATCCACCGCGGCCAAGTTGCCCAAGCGCCGCTGCATTATGTGAGTCTGAACTGGGTCGCGCTGCAGATGCCGTCGGTGATTGCCGACCGCGACTTTTGCTACCTCGAGGTACGCAAATGCCGTTGTATATGTAGCCCTGTACGAACCGTGGCGGCGGGGTGTATATATATATATATGATATTGATGTTGGAATCAAGATGTTATATACCGGTATGACGATTGTGTACAGTGCCATAGCGAATTCCAAGACAACGAAGACCTCCGCCGCGGGTGGGTACGCAGCGTTCACTCGGTGAGCATGATGGACGAATTCTTGTGTCCGCCCCTGGACGACAAATTTGGAATCACACGAGGGCGGTTATATCGCAGTGGCCAAGTGTTTGTCGAAAGCGCGAGCAATCCATCCATTCTCGACATGTTTCAAGTCGTGTGTGTCGAGCTGCATGGGATGGTGTCACAAGACATACAGGTATTGATTGTCCTTTTACCCACATATTTGGACTCTTGTGCTGATTCGCCAAATCTATCGGACGAAATTAAGTTTGTATGTTAAAATGATCCAGAAGTGCCACCACACTAATTTAAACCTCACACTACTTCGATGTTGAACTGGATGAAGAGTGGATAATTTTTGATTGGCTACTTGATTCTTGATCTGGGTTTTGATTGGTCGATTGTCTGGTGATTCTGCTCAAATTTAAGCACCAACCAATGTCGAATCGACTTGACCATAACAGATCCTACGACCACCACAAGTGCAACTTGTCTGATGAAAATAATCCCATATGTAGCATGCAGTTCTCGTGCAACTTGCAGAAGAATGCACGCACGTAGACGAGTACTTTCGATCGGTGAACCTCTGCCTCTGCCGACTCTTTGACGCGTCGGCACTCGCATCCAAAGCCCACAGCTGTGCCTGCTGCGAGAAACCGTTCAAATTGTCCTTGTTTACAAGTGTAAAGCGGCTGCTTTGCCGGGTATGTGGCCATACTGTGTGCGAAGCGTGTACCGAAATGTGGGACCTCCTCTACAAAAAGCCAGTGCGCGTGTGTGTTGCATGTGCTGAGCAGGCCAAAGAGCCGTTCAACCTGTCCGCATCAAGGACGTCGGATGTCCCGTTGATGACATTTCACCCAGGTATTATTATACAACATATAATGATATACGAACGAGTCAAGACCGTATAGTACATATCGTAACCGATATGGACATCGGCCAGGACCGTATAGTTTATATCGTAAGGGATATGGATGTCGACCGTATGGACGTCGGTGAATGCCGTATAGCTTATATTGTAACCGATATGGACGAGCTTGACTACCGTATAGTATATATCGTAACGGATATGTCGTCCGTAGGCATGCTTCTGCACGATGGTGCATCTCCTGCATCCATCGACACGAGCCAGTCGGAAAGCAGTGGTGCCGTTGACCGCTTGACGGTGGACCAGTTCCTGGAAGACCACGGGAGTGGGAGAAGGCCGAGGCAGACGTCCGTGACCCACAGCACCGCCAAGATCGTCCTCTTCGACCAGAACGCCTCCGACGATGTGGGCGATGATGTGTCCAACCAAAAGCTTCGAGATTTGCTCAAAAATGGACACATGTACAACCCCGAAGCGGTCAAGCAAATCGAAGCGGCCCTCATGTAACTTAACCAAGTCTACCACGTATAGTATACTAAATTTAGTAGGAGTACAGATCTCGTCACGACAAACGAGTTGTAATTTCCGGAGCGAGAACTACAGTACATATCCGAAATGAAATGTATCCCACCTCACACATTATCGATATTGTCAAGTTGATTCGAAATTGGAGTGGGGTGATCAATCGAATGAGAGCTGGCAGACAATCGACCAATCAAAGTCCAGAACACTAATCAAGTGGCCAATCAATTTTACCCTTCGGCAGTGCAATACCGAATTAGTGTGTGACTAGAATTAGTGTGATTATCTTTACGTACAAAAGTCTGGACAAAGAATCAATGATAGATTTGGCGAATCAGCACAAAAGTCCAAAATTGGGGTAATTTCAAATCTCGTATTGTTGTGTCTATTCGAACAACTCTAAACTGGAGCGACATGGAGAATGAATGAATCGACACAACCAAATGTACACAAGGTAGGCAGAAGGATATAGCCAATCAGTGTGTGACTTCAATTAGTGTGATACAATCACCACAGGGCAACTTTTTATATACAAAATTCAGTACAAAGAATCGATGGACAGATTCAGCACAAAAGTCCACATTTTGGGTAAAAGAACAATACTCCTACTACTGGTACTTACTATTAATAGTACTCTCACTGACCCTCGCTGCGACATTTGATTGGATACTGTGGAATTGCTTGTCGCTGATTAGTTAAAATATTCTTTCTATTTTCGATGTCCTTTCTGCGGATTGTTTGGTAGCCAATCAAATGTCGCAGAGAGAATATGAAGGAAATTCACGATAATCCAAGTTGGACGTTCGAGTACATGTAGAATCGAATGAATTTGGCAAATGTTGTCAGCAAATGTTCTAGCCAATCAAACTTCACCAATGAGAAAATCCCCAATCGCAATACTCACCTTGAAATTTGTCTACCATACTAGTATCGTTAAATGAACACTACTGAGTATTGGAGATTCGGTATGAATTTCCAGACCCTGTTCAATCGAATCTCGCCGAGCGAATCGAGCACCAATCTCTCCCATTGGTCAATCCGAAATTACTTGTCGCTGATTGGCTACAATCCATTTTCGAGTTTCTGAAAGGACGAAGTGGATAATGGCCAATCAGATGTCTCGGCTCTATTTGTGCTCGATTGAACGAACCATGCAAAATTTGGGAAATTTGAAGAAAATCGACAATATTACTATTAATAAAAGTAAGTCCCAATTTTGAAAAAGAGACAAATTTCAGCGAAATCGACAATACCAATATAAATGTACTTATCCATCCAGTGTATTTCCAGAGTAGTACAGTGTAGTTGTAAAGGGGCTACATATTATAGTACATACAGTTGCATTTCTACAGTTTTGACAGACTGGACTTAAGGTTAACGACCGAAACCAAGCAACCGTGAGTGTGGGTGGCGAATATGTACTGTATATTGAATGGAAGCTTATTGTCCAGTAAATGTCCAAACTCTTGGTCTATTTTGGAGACAATTGACCACAGTGCACCGTGTCACTGCAGTCGCGGGGGTACGTCGTGAGCGCGCGTTCCACTTGGATCGTACTGTGATGAATGTCCTTGGAAATCAAATAATTCTGCGCTTCATGGAGGGTATCGTCGACATTGTCGCTGTTGGTTACCTACAGCAAACAATCCTCTTGATAAATACCATAGTATCAGGGGTCGTTAAAAGAACACAGAACACGACGAACGACCAAAAATAAAAATAGAATAAAAAACACAGAGAACACGTACCAAATGCACGCTGAGCGACGGGAGGCCCGCGTTGAGCGACCAAATGTGCAAGTCGTGAGCTTGGGAGACGGAAGGCAAGGTCTCGAGGCCGTGCAAGATCTCGTCCACGTCGAATCCTTCGGGGGTGCCTTCCATGAGCACATGCACGGAGCTTCGGATGATGCCCACGGTCGTGTACAAGACCAAGATCGAGAACAAAAACGTAGCCACGGGATCGGCGACTTGCCACTTGGGGTTGTACCTACAACGCAGCTCGTTTCAACATGCATCTCCAACCATGGGATAGTTACATACCAAATCAACGCGCCGGCAATGCATACTCCCAAGCTTTGAATGAAATCGCCCAGCGCGTGAATGTACGCAGCTTGGATGTTGAGGTTTTCCAAGCTGGGTTTACCGTTGTCGTCGCCTTGCTTCTTGGGCTCGTTGTGTCCGTGACCATGTTCTTCATCGTGGCCGTGGCTATGTCCATGATGATCGTCGTCACCGCCATGGCTGTGTCCGTGATGATCGTCATGATGGTCATCGTTGCCGCCGTGGCTGTGGCCATGGGAAGCGCCGCCAATGCCGTGCGAATGGGAATGGCCGAGGATCTTCATCAGCGCCAAGTTCACGACCAGACCAAGGACCGCCACGATGAACATAAGCTTGCCGTCTACATGTTCTTGGGGTGAGTCACTGATCGCGTCTTGAAACCGTTCGATGGCGGCGTAGACCAGAAAACCCGTGAGCACCCAAATCACCAACACACTCACGATCGCGCCCAAGATTTCGGCGCGGTGGAACCCAAACGTCATCTTGGAGCTCGCGGGGAGCGTTTGTACCCAAATCGCAAAGAGAGAAATGCAGAACCCCGCGACGTCGCTCAGCAAGTGCGCCGCATCGGTCATGATGGCCAAGCTGCCCGCCATGAACCCCCCAACAACTTCGGCCACCATGAACACGAGCGAGAAGAGGCATGCCCATTGAAGCTTCTTGCGAGCACGGAGCGAGGATTCCGAGAGCGCGATGGACGACTTCTTCTTGGGGGAGGACACGAGCGGTGTCGCTTCGTTCGTGGCGCCGTAGCCTGCATGAGAGTGTCCGTGAGGTGCCATGGAAGGATCCTTATCCGACGGGAGGTGCTGGTCCAGTAGAATGCCAAAGCGGAAATGGTAGCCACACACTCCAAGGATCGAATTTATCCGGATGTTTTGTTTATGCAGAACAAATAGACGACGTATCCGGCAGGATCGTGATCTCAGTGTCCAAATAGAAAACTCCAATGCATATATACATAGAATATATATGTTCAATACAAAGCATGGCTAGTCAAGGTGAGATGTATCCTGGACGTTTTAGGGTAAAGCAATAAGTACGACTCAGCATTTGCTTCTAAAAGCAAGTGAACGAATACCCGTACGTAATAGGAGTGAGTTTTACGTTTCGAACGAGGAACTGGATCCAACGCTGACACTTTAGCATTTCTCGACACCGCCGGATCATCCATGATTGAAAATTTCGGTCGAGGGGCAAGTCTACAATGTACTCTACACTTGCTCCAAATGCCTGCCATCAAACGAAGTCAAAGCAAGGCTCGAGTTGGGTGGTTAGGATGGATTTGGACTCTGGAGTTCTGGTATTGGTCCGAATGGTTCTTTTCGAAACACTGAGAATCCATTAGACGATGCAGCATTTTGATTGGCAATAAGCTGTATTAATTACAGATAATTAGACATGAGGTTGAATGGTCATTCACGTACTTCGAATTATTTATATGGATTTCAAATATCCGTGATAGTATCATGTGTCATCCAAACGTCATCCAACATTAATATTAGGTCATATCCTAATTAGTAGAGATGAGAGTAAATTAGGATTATGCTAGGTCATTGCATACAGGCCTCGTCCGGGAGCGGCACGGTCTACGGCCTACCTGCCGCTGCCCGACAAGAAGAAATGATAGATCATTCGGTGAAGTGAGAAGCTTAGATCCGCGCTCTCGTACGGCCGCGCTTGCGCAGACGGCCTCCCGGGCGCTGGGGGTCAACGTAAGGCTTGGTCACTATTTTAGGTTTCATCCCACAACTTCATCCAATTTCATCCAATGTCATCCAAATTTCATCCACATGTCATCCACGCTTTTAATTCAACAATTATATTATATTAACCATAGTATCCAAGGTTGGTATTAATATTCAATGCTGTCCCGTAGGTCTTAAGTACTATTTATATTAAAATATTCCTGGTCCATTGCATACTGTACAAGCTTCATAAAATGTAACGTTAAGTTAGAACCTTAGTTCCAGAGGGAGGTGGGTGAGTCTCGTGTTCTGATATACTAGTACCAGGTTGCAATTACAGTGTATTCATGCACTATTAATAGTAACGTTACGATCTAAAACTGTCTAGATATATATGACTTGGGTTGCCTCGTGTGGAATTCTTAGAGGAATATACAAGTTACACCAACCCAACAAATACAAAGCGTTAACCCCCGTAACGTTGCCTGAACCTATTTTACGGATACCATTCACCTATTTTTATCATGCCTCATCTATTTACGCATTACTTTCCGGATAATGTGACTCGAACACCAATTTTGAAACGCCCAAACGCACCAAGTGGTATGGATCCTCGGAACGACCATGCACAGTCCGAGTCGGAGCTGTACCAAACAGTTGTCCACACCCGACAAGAGAAGCTTCGGTCGCAGCTGCACAAGGTCGCGGGGCAGAAGGCGTTTTTGCGGCATGAGCATCGGCGGCTGATGCTGCAACGAGCGCTGCTCGAGTCCGAGTACCAGCGCTTCGAGGCGTCGTTGTCGTCCGACTGGTTTTGCCACGAGGATAACTCAACTGCCAAGGACCGGCTCAGGATACAAGTGGGCGGCCAGGAGTTTGAAGTGACGCTACATATCGCCCGAAAGGACCCCAAGTCCCTCTTGGCTGCGCTCGTGGCACCTGATTCACCGCTGGCGCCGTCGGCAGTCGGCTGTTTTTGCATTGACCGCGACTGGAATCTGTTTCGTCTCATGCTCAACTTCCTGCGCGATGGCATACTACCAAACGACCCCAAACTTCTGCGCGATTTGTACGATACACTAGCGCATATTCTAGATGATACCATGTCAAGATTTTGAACGTGGACTTGTGGCAGGTATGTCGAGAGCGAGTATTGGAAATTTGACTCGCTCAAGCTTGCGATCGAACAGGGGTACATATATACATACATATGCGTATTCGACCTGAAAACCATGGCCTCAATCGGATCATGTCATAGTAAAATTCAATTGAAACCAGCTACAAAACCTATTGTAAACAATACCAGCACTCGTCCCGCCGAAACTGCGTCCAAATCTGGTGCTAGTACTACTAGCAACGCAACCACCAACGCCAGTCACCCTTGGTGGAACGAGCCGCCGCACTGGTGGGGCCGCCCGCCAACCACGCAAAAGGTTGTGTCCTTCTCACACATAACCAACCATACATGTATCGGCAGCGATATGTAGACATCGGAAGGTCAGACGAAAGCCGACAAACAGCCTGATCCGTATGCGTGGTGGAAAGGCACCAAGTACAAGGGCAACGACTACGCCAAGTTCCTCACGGACCAGTTGGCGACCGAGCATGGCGGCCAGTGTAAACCATCCAGTGAAAAGTGTAATGACGCCTCTACATCCTCGTCTCAACAACCCACTACAACGTCGTCGCATGCTTCATATTTGGGCCAATCCTTGTTCAGTAATCATCCACCACCCCACTCCTCCACTGGTACCATCAAGGCGACACCCAAGAACGAACAAGAGTACCCGCTCATGCGCAGCACGTGGACATCGGTTCGACACTTGACGTAGTAGTTGTAGCTGTAGTACTATTAATATTACTAGTAGTAGTACTAGTAGGAGTCTATCAAGGAGCACCGTGTCCTTCATGCATTGAGGCTGTTTGTTGTATGGAGAGGTAACGTTAGGGAAAATAGTATTTTATTTATTTCAATCAAATAAATGATAATAAATTACTATTATTTGTGTGACATGCACGACGAGAAATTATTTATTCTTACTGTAGCTTGACACATTATCGAATATGTTACCAGACACACCCTTACTGTAGGGTACCATTTCAAAAATAATATGTCATTTTCTTGTAAAATGGGATAAGGGCCACTCTGGCTGCCACAAAAAATATCAGAAAACATTACTTTTCGCAACTTATGAGAATATTATGACAGTTTTTCAAACGACAGCTTTTGTGTGTTTGGCTACCAAATCTGACATATATAAATTGACATAATACGTCGAATTTTACTGCTTTCTGACAGAAAAAAGTTTCAGCTGCAACTGACCAATTTTTACCTACATGATAGTCCAGCAATTGTTCTCATTCCATCATGGTCACATCCGAATATTTTGTAAAATATTTTCTCACCTCCCATTTGAAAAGGGAATTCTCTGTCAGAAGATTATTTGATATAAATTTTCTGTGGCATCCAGACTCTGCCTAAACCATATACTAGTAGTATGCCATTTTCAAAAGGAGGTAAAAGGTCGATTTTATAATATGGTGTAAATCCCACGTGGAATTACCGGATTTGGGTTAAAACTCTTCAAGCAAGATATGCTGCAATTTTGATCAGATTTGTTGAATTCGGCCCCAAAATGGCGTTTTCCGCCAGAATATTGTAATATTTCAGGTTGCCTTACGGGCCATAAACAATTATTTCAGCCAGTCGGAATGATTTATTTATTGACAGGGAATACTTTAATACAATAACCCCTGAATATCGATAAATATCGAGTCTTCGCAGCATGATTTTTTTATTTATTTCTTGAGGCACATCTCAAGACTTATTTTTCTGACTTATTCTTTGGCCAAGTTCTTTCAGAATAAATTATTCTATTTAATTAAATAAATAACTCTTGTGTAGTATATATTTTTCTCTACGTTTTTCACCTCGGGTTGTACGATCTGTTCAGACTGTCAGTCATCTGCGTGCCCCGACAGAGTTGTTCTGTAGCCAGGCTACAGAACTGTACAAGTGCAGATACATACTGTACAGCAATACTACTTGGAGTACTAGTTGATATTCGACGACGACCTGGGGGTGTTAGGTGTTGCCACTCAACGCCTTTTTTACAACTGCACTCAAATAAAAATGAACCCCGAAACGCCCCAGTGTATGTTGATTTATCCGGATAACCTTCCAGTTAACCAGGTGTTCCAGGTTAACCAAACATTTTCACGACGCGATGGCGGCTACAATTCCAAATGTCTTGCACGAAGCGATTGAAGGCAGGGTGTTGATCGCTATTCAAGACGTTTTGGGCTCACCGTATGTACAGTACTACACGACAAGAAGCAAGAACCGCCTGCGACAAGGTGTGTGCGCTTCCATCTCTCTCACCTGTAGACGCCATATTCGCTAGGCCAGCGTGCCGCCATGGCGGGCGACTTTGAACTGCTCTTCGCCATCGACGTATTCAAGGCACACATTACGTCGCTCTGCGCCAGTGGACGCCCGCCTCAACGCGGAGTTCCTCTGACTGTCACGACTGTCTCCACGTACGAACTCGTCCGCACACGGTCGTATCCGTCGTCGCATTCGCTAGGTCAGCACATGTCGACCGTTCTCATGGAAGACATGGCGTTGCGAGAGTTCGTAGCCGACATCCGAGTCAACGGCAAAGGCATGCTGACCTTCACAAGCCACGAGCACATGACGTGGCACGCTGTCCGTGGCCGGCTGCCATGTTCGCAATGCGGGCGGTTCTTCAACGGCCCCAAAGGCATCCGCGTACATCAGATGCTAAATCATAACATCAGCTTTGCGTCAGCCCAAGGCGAGGCGTTGGCAACTGACTGGCAACTGGTCGTGTACACTGCCCCGCCACTACTACTTGCAGCAGCTACCAGTCACACCCCTTCAACCACCACCACCACCTCACCAGCAGCGACTCCTCAACCAGCCCAGCCACGAGCTTCCCTAGCTGTTCCAGCTCCTATGGCAAAGGTGTCCAATCCTGGTATCCTAGCCGCTCAAGCTGGACATACTTCGGTGTTAATCGCACTGGTGGAATCTGGCACTTGGGACCCCAAGAGCGAAGACTACAACGGATGTAACGCCCTTGTGTGGGCTGCCGGTGCAGGGCATGTGGCTATATGTCAGTATTTAGTGACATCATGTGCTGTGGATGCCCATGTCTTGCAAGGCAAACGAGGTACTACTGTACAGTACATCCAATCATATTTTTCATTATATATATATGCCATGGACACACGGTGATAAGTTGCTTTGTTATGGTTGTACTTATTCTAAATTGGAGCGACATGGATAATGAATCGACACAATCAAACGTACACAAGAATCGGCAGAAGGATTTAGCCAATCAGATTGCACGAAATCTGCATCAACGAATTAGTGTATGATTTCAATTAGTGTGATACCCATCACCACAGCCTACCTTTTTACATACAAAATTCAGTATAAAGTAGAATCGATCGATAGAGATTTGGCGAATCAGCACAAAAGGCAGCCAAATGTTGGGTAAAAGGAAGACAATATTTCCCTCGTTTTTATTCTTTTGGTGAGACTTTTGGCTGGCCCATCGGTATTGTCACGTTGTTGGGTAGCGTCAGTCTTTATTTTACAATTTTTTTCACAATTTTGGCATACTTGCTATTAGATATGCGGCGCAGTCCGTTGCACTGGGCAGCTCGAAATGGCCATATCAACGTGTGCAAGTACTTGGTCCTGGAGCTCCACGTGGCAGTTGATAGCCCCACCCACGACGGCACAACGGCATTTCATTATGCTGTCTGGAACAACCAACTAAGCACTTGTGATTGGCTAGCGTACGTAGCTCGGCCACACATATTTCACTCTTGGGAAAAATTCACAATATATTTTGTATCTTTTAGTGGTGCCTTTTAAAAGTTGAGTGTTTTTATTCTAATTAATTATTATTGTGGATTCGATACGAATTTCCAGACCCCGTCGAATCGAATCTCGCCGCCGAATCGAATCACGAATCAACGTTATTGGCTAATCCAATTTTGAGTGGATTTAATTGGCTCTTACAGAAAGGACAAGTATATTCAACCAATCAGAATTCGAGCGTGATTCAATATTGATTGAACAAATCTCGCGAATTTTGAAAGTTTATAGCGAATTCACAATATTATTCTGGTTCATACTCTATATACTAACTTACATGTAACGAACGAGCGGTATGTATAGGTCGGTGGGCCAGTGTAATGTGCACGCAGTCAACTCGTACGGGTGCAACGCGTCTCAGTGGGCCTGTATGACGGTATAATATATAATTATAGAAATATTTATTTACGTCTCCTGTGTACAAAGGGAAGCGTGGATATGCTAAAGTTCTTGCACTGCCACCAGCTAGACTTTGCCCTGATCAACCGAAATGGACACAGTGCACTGCACAAAGCTGCTATCAAAGGCCACCTGGAGGCTTGTCGCTGGCTGCTAAATGTGGCAGGGCTCGGGTGGAACCATATGCAGAAAGATGAAGACGGGTTCACGCCCCAACGATTTGCGATGGAAAATGGACATGTGGAGCTCGGAGCGTACTTGGCTCAAGCAGAAGCCAGCCTGCGTACCATAACAGCATAGTAAGAGGTCGTAGACGGAGGAGCATTCATATTGGACAGAGATCAAGCATGTACGTACAGTGTGCTACCGGTAGTAGTAGTACTGTACTGTAAAGAATTGCTCGTACAACGTAGCCAAGAATCCTAGTATATGTATGGTATAGCCTGGTCATAAAGTGTAGTACTAGCCAAAGGGCGTACCCATAAACGCTGGCCTCTTGTTATGGATTCACGTTAGTCCAATGTAAACAAGTGTAGCCGAGCCGTGGTGGGAGTTGTGGAATTCAATTCAGGACTATATCTGTTGATCAGCCTTTAGGCCTATAGATTGTCAAATCCGTTCCAGGACTTTTCAGTACTATCGACAAGTGTATTTGAGAATGTCCTACCTAGCCAATCAAAGTGCACTAACGAGAATTTTCATCCAATCATCGATAAGTATAATTCAAAATACTCGTCTTCAAATTTGTAAATTGAAAAAGCTTAAAATCTGACTCAAATCCACTCTCGAATCAGCTGCCACGTCCAATTTACAGCGAAAACGACAACCAGTATATACTGTACAGTACTGCCGCATCACAGTACTTTCGCGCTACTAATTTCACTTGCTGTTAAAAGTATTTGGTGTTGTTCCGTTTGCCCTCCACGCAGCGAAGTATGACTGGAACCATCATTCCGTCTATTTTGGGCTAACTTGTCCATCTAACACTAACGTTAATGCAATTGAGAGTATTTCTAGGCTGTGCCTTCCTCCATCCCTCATAGTTCATTTTGGACGTGATGGAGTCAAATACAGGAGTAATATTGGTGCTTCTGAGCCACAAAGCACAGCCCCCCCGAACGTGTTGTCATCCGTGCGTCCTACATTCTCTTGCTCCAAAGCTACAAGGTACCTGAAGAATCCACATACATCACGACAAAGCTGTCGTGATAATCGTATACAGTCCTGGCACTTTTGGCGTTTTTGTGAAGTAATTTGCAACTTCAAGGCATCTATTTCCATGACGGGGACGTGCCGTCCGTGCCCTGGGTTACCCCGTTTTCAAGCAACCTGCGCCCCCAATCTATTCCTTCAGACCCCGTTGTTGCAACGCTATGTAATCCCCCCAAGATGGTCGTAATTTGCCCCGCCCCCCGCGCTTCCCCCCTACAACTACGCCAGTGTCATCTACCCCAACTATGGATAACAATTGTACGACGACGGCTTATCCAAGTGGCCGACTTTTGGTGTCCTACGCCATACAATCGTATTCGACTGTCGCGAGTTCGGGCAATGAAATTTCGCTGGCTTTCGATACTACACGTCGATTTCCCTGGGTGAGAAGGGGGGCATGACTATCCAAATGAGTGCCCAACCCAACGGCCCCATAATGTGAACGAGTGTCCTTCCAGACTTCAATTTCCAGCGTAAGCTCGAACCAGAAAGCAACTACATGGAGCCCCCCAACGTCCAACTGGATCCGAAAGTACAACAGCCGCGATCGACGCGAATACCGCCTTGATCCCCGGAAGCTCCATCGGCATGCGTACCAAGCCCAATGAATTCACTTGGGCGTGGATCTGAACCTCCAGTGCGACACTATGTGCCCCCCTCAAGACCAGGTATGGCAACAATTATTGTAATTAAAATAACTGACAATTAAATACAGAAGGTAAGTTGTCTTTGAGTGCAACCCCCAATTTGAACTAACCTTCCATTATTTCTACAGTACTAATAGTACAGTACTGTACTACGTACAGTAGTAATAGCTAACGTTACAGTAACATGTCCACCAAGGAAAAAGAAAAGTGACTATTTTGTCCTACAGGCATGTCATTACGACAGCAGCTGGTTCCGAGGTGGGGCTGACACCCCAAAGCGGTTTTAGTAATCAATCTATTGTGTGAATTGACACTAACTAGGTACTACTGTTGTACACAGTACCGGTATATACTCCAGCACCGATGCAATGGACGACCGTTCAATAACATTAGGGGATTAAATTATAAGTTAGACGGCAGTACAGTCAACAACAAGTCCACCACCGATTGGTGTCCGTTCATTTGGGCCATGTCTGTCGCTGATAAGTTGCGCTACAATCCACCACCTCGATTTTAATATTCCCAAAAACTGGAAAAAAAACACGAAATATTATAGAGAGAATGAACTTACTTGATCTCGGCATTGCACGTCAACGCTGGGATGCGTCATCATAAGTCGAACCACGTCGACATGTCCGCGGGCACACGCCGCCATGAATGCTGTGAGGCCGTTCTACAAATATATTTAATTATATATATCTTCAATCCAGGCGTGGCAACGTACGTCGTCGCCTTGATTGGCATCGAGGGAATTGTGCTCTAGCAAATACGACACTATTTGCACGTGGTTGTGGGCTGCTGCAATGATAAACCCCGTGTTCCCCACCTAGGCAGTCGCCGTTAACTAAGTTGAAGTAACTAGTTGATTTGATGTTCGTACACAATTGCCTTGGTTGATAAATACATGAGCGTGACTCGCCAGGTAGCGAACCGTGTCCACCAACCCATGGAGGCACGCGATGTGGAACACCGTGGCCAATTCCTAGCATGTCAATCTCGTTAACGTTTGATCAACTAGACAAACCAACTCATAATCATGAGAAACAAGAGCCAGTACATGATTCGAATGGTCGAGGTCGAGGCCAGGATGGGCTAACAACTGCAGCACTATGGTTTCTTGTCTAGCTCCGCACGCGAGGAAGATCGCCGTGTTGCCTTCCTATGGACATCGATACAACTGTGAGCCCACCATCCTAAACACCATCGACCATCCACACCAAATTGACAAAACCATGCCATCGTCGATACGATGGACACCTACGCACCGCATCGGCTTCGTTCACGTCCACGCAAGGGTCGTGCAGTAGCTCGTGGACGGCGAGGTCGTTGCCGCTCATCACGGCCATCATCAGTGGCGTCAGGTTGAGTCGCGGCGCTGGTGGCTGCGACGGTGCTACGTACGGCGCGGCCATCGAGTAATGCGTGGGCACGGTCGTCTGGGATGCCAACATGCGCACTGCTTGGCACATGGCTAAAGCTGGAATGAGGTCGCGAGTTCTTTATCCTGGCAGAGACACTTAGGGCATGTCAGGTTTTGAGTAGCATGTCTCGCCCGACTAGTCAGAGGGAAGCAACGAAATACAGTATTCAAATGGTTTTCACATACAGTACATGCATTCTGTCGCCACAACCAATGGAATATGATCCAATGTCATACAACGAAGGCACACCTACCATGATATGATCATCAATGTCGTCGTCCGAGCTTCGTTGACCAAGTACGTCGAAGTACTTGACTGACAACAGTGGGCCAGGGCTGAACACACTATTGGGATTATTCAATCAAGTTTGATTGGTGAAATCACGATGAGGTAAAGACCTGTCACAACCAGGTACTTACTACTAGTACTTATTACCGGTAGGTGGGTTGAAAGCGTCGTGCTGGTCTTTTGCAAGCCACTAACTACAGTACTACGTATTAATAGTATATATTTATTCCGTGACCCGAATAGAGCTCTCAAACCAACAAGCCCCCCCAGAACTTCATCGTGGGCAGCATCTTTGTTCTGATCGCAACCAACGATGGTGGCACCCCTTACGAATCCTCAGTGATTTGTCAACCTATACACGCCTTTCGATTCGCCCTACGCGCAGTCCCTGCAAAAGTGGTCAGTCCAACCTGGTCACGATGAAGCCACCGTTGTGTAAGCAAAGTGGGATTCGTAAACTGGAGAAGGTGAACACACTGCGTTGTTCGTTTCAATGTGCACTGCTTTTGATCCGATCGTTTACATGATCTACTAGTACTCCGGGGTACAGTACTGATTGAGTATGTACAATACCGACCCAAGTACAGTAATTAACGAGTCCATTGTAGTATTCGGACCACTCGTGTCAACACGTGCGCACACTTGATGCCACTTTCTACGACCTGATCAGTAACTAACGACTGTACCTGGACGGATTCCTCGGACGAGAAATTTCTCTCGTCACTTGGTTCGACGGCTACTGAAAAGATTAGTCATCACTTGTGCCAACGACGCCAACTTCATTTGCCGCCCCTCTGGCAAAGAAAGGTGTTGATACTGTATTTGGGGTTGGGCTGCCTTCGACTTTCACGACTGTAGCTCGGTCACTCGCGGGATGCACTAACAAGTCGAAAACCTACAAGTTTTTATTGGGTCGTATACTCTCGAGGGGGAAGCGGGGCTGGCGCGACCAGAGGACAGCATGTACTGTTTGCGTAAAGAATCCCGCCCCTTACTGTGATGTACTGTACCCGATGCCCCAATATTTCATCACCTGGGGGTAAAGTTCCGAAGATGGTTCGTGTTTACGATGGGGGTGGGTGGCCTAAGAACAAATGTACCCGGTACAGTACTCGTACACAACAAGTAGCTGGTGTCTAACCTGGAGTTGGGGAAACATCCAAGCGAAGGACGGGGTGTATGTACCAGTACAGGTAGGTATGTCTACATGTATAACAATGATGGAAACTTAAACGGGCAGCAGTCATGGCACAATTTTCGCCTAATTTCAACTAACGTTACAGTAACGTTACTTCCACATCTGTAGTGCTTACTGTTAGTACAGTCCATGTACTATTGTAAGTACTGTATTACCCGTAATACGTAGTAGTTCTATTAATAGTACAAGTACTGATACTCCCAGCAAAGTTCACGGTTGACAAGTCATCACAACGCTGGAATTTTCCTGCCAAGCCAAGCTGCAAGCGACGAGAAAACTACAGACTGTAATGCAGCCCAACCATGACAAGTATTAATCGACGTTATAATAACTTACTAAGTTAGTATGTACTAAGCTAGATTCTAGTAGCACTACGTAGTACTACTGTAGTACTACAGTAGTACAGTACTAGCACCTTGGGTCAGCCCCCAGCTCTGTCACTATTGCTTGGGGGATCAACAACATCCACTGCATGTCTCGGCGTTAGATATTAATAGAAAGTTAATTTCTGTCAAAACTCGAGAGAAAGCCAAATTATATTCACTGTAAACCGATACTGTACTTCAAACATAACGTTAAACTGATATTTGTCATCGCCTTCTCAAATACTGCACAATCTTTTGGTGTTGGCAAGCCACCGCCAATTGAAGCACGTATTTCGTCACTTTGGCCACACGGTGCATGTGCAAAAATTTCACCACGTTCAAATGTCCATTTTCCACCGCCGCCTCCATCGCCGCCGCCACGTCACCGGTGGCACCTCGCTTGTCGTACAAATATTTCACAACTTTCAGATGTCCATTCCCACATGCCAGTGCGAACGCTGCGTCGCCTGTGCTGAGGCCGTGGGTGTGTAAATATTCCACAACGTTCAAATGTCCATATTTCGCTGCTCCATCGAGGGCCTGCCACGTGGCCCCTTCGCGTCGATGGGTGTGTAAAAACATCACCGTTTTCAAATGTCCATTCGTCGCGGCACCGTCCATTGCTCTTGCGGTAGCGCCTGCGGACATGTTTTGATTATGTAAAATGAAGCACCACCACGTTCCAACTACTGTAAATAACGGGTTGATATCACCCTTGTACTACGCAATACTACTAGTGGAGACCAAGGATTTGTTGTTGGCAGTAAACACTAAAGTAATGATTTGTTGTCAGTGAAATCTATTCATGACCATACTACCATACGTACAGTAGCATATTGTTGTGTTTCTTCAACTCCTGAGTAAACTGGGGTGACGAATCGACACAACCAGAAGAATCGGCAGATTGATTTAGCCAATCAGATTGCAGAAAACCATGATCAAATATCAGATTCGTGGGATACCTAAATTAGTGTGATACGAATTTCACCACATGACAACTTTTGTTTTCAATACAAAGAATATCAATTCATTCAATAGATAGGGCGAATCTGCATAGTACACCACTTTGGCACCTTGTGTATAATGAATGGATGGCGTACCTTCTTGTCGATTCTCGTGTAAAAAGCGAACAATGTCATCGTGACCACTTGTCGCAGCGCTATCCAAGGCTAGGGTCGTACAGCCTGCATCGACATACATTCAGTCGCTCAAGATCGTTCAAAATCCCACTGGCACACCTTCAGGGCGATGTGTATGGAGATACCGCACAATCTCCATGTATCCATGCGTGGCAGCCATGTCCATCGCGCGCGGAGTGCATCCTTCGGCTCGATGTGTATCCAGAAATTCCAACTAATTAGGCATAGTTAGAACCATAAAACTCGCCATTTCGTGGCGGATACCATGGGTAAATCGCCGTTTAACGCTGCTGAATCCATGGCGAGCGTCGTGCAGCCCTCCGATCGGTGGAAGTGCAAAAATTGAACTATGTCCAAGTGCTTGTGCTGGGCGGCCCCGTCCATGGCGTCCGTAGTGGCCTCTATGACATCGACTCAAGCACAACTGGATGGCCACGATCGTAGAGTACCGTGCTGGTTTAGGCTATGGAGGAATTTCACAACGTTCAAATGTCCATTGGTGGCCGCGGCATTCACGGCATTCGGTGTAGAGGGTGTGTCCTGTAGCTGTTGACACACAGCCACATGTCCGTTCGCGGCGGCGAAGTCCAATGCATTCGACGAGCTTAGCCCAAGATCGAGCAGGAAGGCGGTCATCTCGACATGCCCAGATGCGGCCGCTAGTGGCAGCGCGGCAGAGGTGAGGAGGTGAGGCCGACATCGTTGCAATAGTAGGACCGAAGCGAGGTCGTTGTCGAATATGGCGCGGTGGACGATGTACCGAGGGTCTGTTTGTGAGCTCAAGTGCAGTTCCCGTTGGGTAAGCCCCGTCAGCGCGCCAGAGAGGAATTGCCGCGTCCACGACCTACAGACAGGTATCACGGACAGGTGGTCCACACTGGAGCATGTATGTACCTGTAGCGAGGCAATAGCTGGTAGAACACCCCGTGTTGGAACTGCAAGAGAAGCGCCAAAATAGCGTGGTTGCAAAGGACGTCGTGGTACGCAGAGTGCGCGAATGACGGCGCGGGGCGTGGCCGCTGGCGGCGTGCATGCCGATCATGGCGGTGCTTTGCCATACTGTACGGTGATTGGTCGTGGCGATCTTGCAGTTGAGGACAGTAGTATAGTAATACTAGTAGTAGGACACTATTAATAGTACACTACCTCCAGACTGGAATAAACCAGCCAGGGGAAAATCTGTATATTTTGAACAAATTTGGAAAATTTACAGTAGTCGACACCAACGAATCACTATTTTTTTTCTTCATAAGCTTAAACTTGTCCAGGCACATACATACATACTTGGAGTTCTTTGGCTAAAATATTCACTGACAAAATGAATATATGCATTACCAAAGTTTATTATCATACTCAGAGTCGCCACCATCGTCACTTGAATTGTCGCTGTCATCTGATGACTCTTCATCGGATACGAGTGTATCGATTTGCACAAGATGCTCGTGCAACTTCTTCAACTTCTCTTGTGCAGCACGCACACACCCTTTGATGGAGTTGGGTTTCAGGTTGGCAAATGCAGCTTCGAGGCGAATTTTCATATCCGCGAACTTGGTCATGTCCGTGTATTGTCGACCAACCTCTCCCTTCACAATCGCCTACACAGATTCAATCGGCTGCAGATCCGAATGATGGGGAGGAGTGTACACAACGCAATGCCCACGATGCTTGGCCATTTCCACGATGACGGGGTGAATGTGTGCTTTAATGTGAGATGCCAGCATATCCCACAGCTCACTCTTGAACTCCTTGCCAGTGGTTTGAATACCGTACAAACGACACGCATCCAACAGGATGGACTTGCGACGTCCACTCGTTGGTGTTGACTCGGGCAGGCATTTGTGGTACTTAGCGTTGTCGAGTACGATGAGGGCTTTGGTAACCCCGCTAGCATCCATTTCGTCCAGAAGGCGACCGAAACACTTCACGTAGTATGCATGATCGAACATCCCGTGGTAATCTTTCGGCTCCTTTGCTCGGGACTTCCCTCCGGTGAAAATATCGAGAGCCATGACCTTGCTGGCCATCGTTGGGAAGTCCAGTATCCCGGCAACGATGGCCTTGGACAGGTGGTATGTCGAGTAGCCCTTCCGGCGGCCTCGCTTGTACCCTTGAGCTTCGAGGAAGCGTTGCATGGTACGATAGGATGCTGCGAACTGCTTCTTGTCATCCACGTCGATGTCGTGGACACACATCTCCTTGACCTCGACAGCCGTTGTGCGCTTTCTGGTTGCGCGACGGTCCCGTACAAACTTCTGGACCATCCGGGTTACCAGCTTCGTGCGTGGCACTTTGGTTATGTGTGTCGTGCGGTTTCCAGAAGGAGTAGCAGCAGTCACAGTCTATGAGGCCTGGTACTCCCGCCAAACATCCTGCACAAGGTTGAGGTTGCAACCTTGCAGCTTTAGTATATTGGCAGCGGAACCATGCATGCAGACGAAGAATGTCGAGTCGCTCTTCACGTGTCACAGTGCGATGCCTCGCACTCTTGACAAAAGCAAAGCACGCGTCGATAGATGGATCCATGGAGTAACAATGAAGGATAGTCCTTGACACGTAGTCTATATTATATTTATACTTGAGAGAAAATAGAAATGGAGAGTACCCCCAATGTTGCCATAGATAGAACCTCTATAAACGAATATTCGACAAAGTTACACAGGATATTGTGTTACCGGGTGAAAATTGACTGTCATTCTGCTTTTTCATCCAGTTTTTTAAGAGTTATCTACTTTGGTGGGGATCAAATGCCACAGTAAAATTCCCCTCGAAATTCCCTACAGATTACAGGTGGTTTCATTGAAATCCAATCAGATTTGGCTTAGATATGGAAAAATAACAGTTCAATGGTGTCGAGAACTGTTAAAAATCCGAAAGCTGATTCAAACTTGACGAGGGTGAATCAAATTTCTTTACTTAAATCAAGTTTAAATGTTTTCAGATAAAATTTGCATTAACCGATTTTTTTTTAATGATGATCATTTTTGAGCGCCAAATCAACTTGTTCATCGCCCGTTTTCAGAAGAAACACCTCACGTGGGATGAGCGCCGCGCTGTGGTTGACCACCTTCTCTTGCGCGTCGGACAACCGTCATGCAAACTTCAACTAGGTGCAATCAGTGACGTGGCCCGCTTGTTTGGCCGCCTGCGTCACACCATTGCCGAGATTTGGAAGCGAGCTAACGTATCCCTGGGCAGCGACACTCTTCCTACAAGCCTCGTGCTTTGTAACGACATCGCAACCCAAAAAAAGAGCGGGTCGGTTGAAAGCCAAAGTACACCGACCTACCATCGCGTAGTTGAGCAGTGCCAGTAGCTCATCGAACGACGTTGATGATCATTGCCCATGCTATTGGCAAACCACTTAGCACTCTTAAAGACTACTACAAGCGTGGTTTTATGGTAAATTATAACTCTCATATGAAACCAAAACTAACCGATGTCAACAAAACGGCACGGGTCAAGTGGTCTATGGATTTTATCCGTCCTGACAGCGACTTCAAGTTCCACGACATGTTCGACTACGTATACGTCGACGAGAAGTGGTTCCAAGAGCCAAGAATCAAATCGAGATTCTACCTACTGCCTGGCGAGAAACACCGCATCAATCGACATAGAGCAAGCGTTTCATCACGAAAGTGATGTTTCTCGCAGCTGCGGCACGACCTCGATGGGACAACGTCAAAATAGAGATGTTCGACGGCAAGCTCGGAGCCTGGCACTTCACTCATGTTGTCCCAGCTGCCTGCTCGTCGCGCAATCGTCCGGCTGGCACGTTGGAGTTGAGGCCAGTGAATGTAACGCGGCCGGTCTACAAGAAAACAATCATCGAGGTCATTCCCGCCATCAAAGTAAAGTGGGCCGTGGAGAGTAAAGCTGCTAAAACCACTGGCAGAAATGTTGAAAAGCACAATACGTACGACGAAGTAGTATTAAGAGTACTTAATTTTGCTTTACGCAGAATTCGTAAGGTGAAATAGTAGGTATTAGTAGGCTCGCAAGGTGAGCCACCCATAAATCGATCTGAAATTGAGAAAAATATATTGATATAATATTCGTGTTTGTATTAGAGTTTTTTAATTTCCATTAACAGTAGTCGACAGCTTGGAGGGTGCCTGCCAAAAAAGAATCGTAATATAGAATTTTTCTGACTTTCCACAACATAGCTGCATATTTAGATGCGACCAATAAGAAGAGAGAAAAAATGTTATTTCCCTGATTCTGAACTGTCCGACTCGCTACTGCTGCTATCGCTGTTGCTGTCGTTGCCGTCATCACTGTTGTCATCGTCGCTGTCACTCGCGTCGACTTCTTGTTGCTCCATGATGTACTCGGCCAGCTTGTTGAGCTGCCTATCGGCCTTGTGAATGCAGCCCTTGATGCTGCATGCCGCCAACTCAGCGAAAGCTTGCGTCAACCGTACGTGCACGTCCTTGAACTTGGCACCTTGTGTGTACTGTCGTCCAACCTTCCATTTATTTGTAAAGCATTGTATTGTATATATCACTGTACTTGGCCTTTTACGATAGCCCACACCATCTCGATAGGTTGAAGGTCACTGTGGTAAGGTGGTGTGTAAACCACTTCATGCCCTGCGGCACCAGCGTTACAACCTCGATGTCAATCTTATCGACATGCACACTAAGCTTTTTCCATAGTGCAGCTTTCGTATCATTTGTGAAAGAAATGCCGTACGTAGTGCAAGCATTCTGTAGGACACTCTTCTTTTGTCCATACTTAGGTGTACCCGTAGGGAGACCTTTATGGTATTTTGCATTGTCCATTACTATAA